CTATTCATTTTTTTCTAATGGTTATTACTGCATACTACTTCGCATATTTTTTATCCCTAAAATAACTAATCCTGTTATGTCTATTCCTAAAAGTCTACATTTATATTATTTATTCAAAATGCAGGCCGATGTAACCTCACTTTGGGTTGTACTACTCTGTATGCCCCACTCCCCTCGATGCGACCACTTAATTAACTGATTTTAAATGTAGAATCACACAAAGCAGGTATTCTCGTTGGGCAAAATGTGTCCTGTAAACACACCGAGCCAAGTCCCCCCCAAGTTGAAATAGTGAAATGTTGTTTCTCATAAATGAAAATGAATAGTTTAGCGGGGTTTTAGGTGGCATTTCTATAATTATTGGCAGACTTTTTGCGACATTAAATATGAAATATGGTTAACGGCAATGCATAGCATTTAATAACTCAAGCAACCTGCATTTATTTGCAGTACAAACTTACTGAGATAATCTTTTTGTTTTCCTGATTTTTAGGGAAATAATTGCGTGAAAAGGTTTCCAGCAGTTCTTCTCTATTCATAAGAAAACGATTCTTTGTAGCTCGACTCAATATGGAAGATATAGACTCAACTGTCATAATGTAGATATAACCGACCTGGCGTAGATTAAATAAATGTAGATTAGCTTCACGCCCTCCACTTCCTCCTGGTTAGCTGAAAGTAAGGTCTGACCATTCAAACAGCCCTCCTGATCGATGCAGTAAAATGTTTCGGTGCCAGTTCACAGGGGCACTGACTGCGAAACTGGAACAAAGTGGTCCTAATTGATAGAGCATCTGGTCCGGTTGCGGTGGTAATGCAACTGGCGCCTGGCGCCTCAACGTGGTTGGGCCTATGCAAATGTGGTACTTTGCAAATGGAGGAGCAATCGGATGCCAGTTCGTCAGCGCATCAGGGTCTGTGGCGGGTGCCGCTCTAATACGGCACCATGACCTGACACCTACTTCGGTTTCTGGAGCAATGGCTCAGTGTGACAGAATGAAGCTCGCAGTCGAGGCGGTGAAGTGTAAAAATTGTGTAAATCGGGTAGAATGGGGTCTTTTTGAGGAAAAAGAACTCAATTCATTGCAAACACTCCGGGCAAGGGAGGATATCAGCATGAGATACAGACATGACATTGAGCTTCTGTTCCACGTGTATCTAAAGCAGTCTGCGGACAGGTTGCCCTGGCGACGCAATAAAAGAGCATTAGAGAAGAGTCTGTTGATGACCTACAGACGCATCATCAGGAAAAACTGACATTGTCATGGAGCAGTGCACTCTCTTGTCTGGCCCCTCCGTCAGGCCTGACCTCGAGATCGGCTGGGTCCGGAAGTATGCCGTGAGCAATCCGGGCAAACTGAAACTGGGAACGACAGCAAAGTTGTCTACCCAGCCTCCCAAAATCTCGTCCAAAATAGACTTCGCATAGGCCTCATCCACACCCCAACGGGATGAGTATCGTGTCGAGGTTACCACTCCACTCCACTACGCGACCACGAAAGGCAGTAGGCCATAAGGGAAATGAAGCATTCAAGGCAAGACTAATTTCACCAACACACAATTTATAGTGTGATCTTCGATTAAGGAAGCATTAGTCGCGATTGCAATTCACGACGTTAGTTATGTTTGAGATTTTTAATAATTCTTGAAGAATTAGGGGATATTTTAAAAATAAACTTAAACAGAAAAGAATTGTAAAAGAATCGAGTCAAAAGGCAAAGAATGACCTATTGTGGCATGACCCTTCTTTTCGAAGGAAAAGTTAGTTGGAAGGAATTTGTGATGTGGTCTCCGTGGCAATGCTGGAGAAACACTGACCACCAAATTATCGGTTAGATACATGGATGACTGTTTTGTCATCCGGCCAAATGGGAAGGAAAGTTTAGATAGAAGTGGGTTGATCTCGTTGTCGTAACTTGGTCTTGTTGTCAAGGCGATTTAGTATAAGACACCTAGTCTGGAGGCGTCTGCCATAGTAGTTGTCATGATTCCCAGCATCTGACAGTTGACTTGGTACATTCCCAAACGTTTCGCCGGCATCGTAGTCGGCATAATCAGCGAATTTTGCCATTTTACGCACCAAGCTACGAACTCTGTCAAAGAGACAAGTGAAGTCAATCCCTCGACAACCGTTCTGCCGAAAACGGTTACACTCTCACTCCTCTTTCTGTCCTGGCCCATCTATCTACTCTTTATCCTCTTATCCAACTCCCGCCCTATCACAGCTTCTCACTTGTTTACATCTCACTCGTCAAAAATGTGTGCCCTTTTGTGGCAAATCTAGTGTGGCCTCATCACACTTGCTATTTACCACGAACCCTCTCTTTCGATCAGCCCATCTGACTCGGGCCTCCGATCCTGATCCTCTCATTGTCTGGTAGATCCGTTCCTTATCTTTTTGGTTGACCGATTTAACTCGGTGTCAGTCCCATACTTGCAAATATCAGGCCTTCCCTACAACCGTCCTCCCTTTGATTAAACCCACATTATCTGAGCAAACTGTGGACGCCTATCTCTGGTCGCATGCAGCATCTCAATTGGATTTCTAGTGCATTTTGGGCATAACACCGAATTTCCATGATTGTTTGCTTATCCCTCCGCCCAGCTCCTTGACTGTCGAAAACCCCTGCCCCCCACTTTATTCGTAGATCCTTGATCCATGCGTCTCCTTTTAGCTGGTCTTGCTCCATTCTTGTTTTCCCCAAGTTTGCTTAGGCAGTAGGCAAAGTTATCGCTAACTCTACTTTCCTCCAACCACTTGTTCATTATATTTTTCTCCCCAACGATGTCAATGGCCTCCCTAATCTTCCGCTTCCTTGATGTTCCTTGATTCGTGTGCTAATTTTTCTCCCTGCTTCGCCAATATATTTTTGTTCGCAGGCGCCGCATGATATTTACAGTAAACTCCTAAACAATCCAATTTGTCTACCCTTTGATGTTGTGTTGGTAAACATGTGAAGAGTGTTGATTTCTCTTTCATGGCAACATGAATATTCCATTTACTCAATATTGGCTGTAGTTTATGAGTTAGTTTGCAGGAAGGTAGGCATATCCACTTTTGTGAGTCTTTAATCGTCCTCACTGTTCTTTCATAGTCCCCGTTCTGCCATCGGCTTTTCACGGCCCGTATGTTTCTTTGTATCACCTCGTTTGGGTAGCCATTGCCGAGGAAGTTCCTAGTCAATTTGTCCAGCTCCTCGTCCCATAAATCTGCATCCGTTAGGCGGATCATGCTGCTCATTATTCCAATCTTAAGCCTGTAATTGTGATGGGACCGGAAATTGAGTATTATCCCAGAATAAGACTTTTTTGTAAACATTAGAGCGAATCACTTCAACGTCCAGGAACGGTAACCGCTCACCTCCCTCTACTTCCATCATGAATTGAATTTTTTCATCAATCTGGTTTACAAACTTCAGAAACTCTTCCAGTTCTTTTCTTCCATGTGATCAAAGTGCGATGTAATCATTCAGGTACCGCATGATCACTGCCGGTTGTAGCTCTCTTGAAGTTCTTTTCTATTTTGTTCATGTATACATTTGCCAAATAGTGGTGATAGCGGCGATCCCATAGGAAGTCCAAATATTTGTTCATAGATGTTCCTGTTGAGAGTAAAATAGGTTGTCCTTATTGTCAAAAAGTATTCTCTTCCGGAATGAGTTAAAGTCTCGATTTCACATCAGCTTTTCCTCAGAAACCCAATGAAATTTAACCTAATTTGCTTAATCTCTAATTCGGAATTACAGATCGTTTAGAAACATACTCATGCCAAAATAAGTAGAGTCGTCGATCGTAATTGCAAATGCATGTTTGCCTCAATATCACTCTCATTATAAATGTAATTTAAGATAGGTCTGACTTGCTTTGAATTTCACATCTGCCCTGTGACACATTATTACCCGTGGCTGTGTAGCAGAGTGGTAACGTTTCATCACGATGTCCACGGTCCAGTTTCCAATACCTTTGGAATTGCGGATGAGACCCAGACTATGTCGAAATTGCAGTCCAGCCCGATGAGAAAACCTTTTGAGAGGTAAGGGTAGGCACAACCTAATGATATCTTGGGACATACTTATATCCTGTATCAGAAACTTCCCTATACGTCCTTAAATCCCCTTAAGAAATCTGGGCTAACTGAGTCCCTTTTGAGGTGTTGGAAGCGCCAGGAAATATTGTAATGAAGTTATGAGCAGTAAGAATGTGAGCTGAATTAGTAACAAGTTCTTCCAGTTTTCTGATGAGCTTTTGTCTCATAAATAATATGATAACATTATAGAAGCTCCTTTTTAGATCAGTCTCTGGGGTGCAACAAAATGGCGGTTATCATGTGGCCGAGGATCGAGGGAACAAGAAATTCGACAAAATTTGTAAACTCCGAGAAGTAGATCTATGGAAAGACGAGAAGACTCGATTAGGAGACAAAGGACTTTATAAAAAATATTAACAAAAAGATTTTGTACATCATAAATCATTAAGTATGCTGAAAAGAAATAATATAGCGAAAACCATAGTCAACAGATATTGTGTTATCGTGTGCCTATGCCATTCTTCTTGTTGAATCTGCCAAGGTGATAGATTCATGATCCTCAGCGTACAAGCTCATATGGGCAACTGGTCGTGCAATTCAAGGCTATCTCTGCGGCCTCGTTGAAGAAATGATACGTGGTTGGCCCTGTTTACTAAGAAATAAAAAGGGTGCAGACTTTCTCACTTGAGAAGCTATTTCTCTTTGATTCGATTGTAATGTCCGCAACTCAAAAGACGTAGACGTAAAGACCAGTTTTCTTTTGCTTTAAACCATGTCGAAATGCCCAATTTGAGCATTCTGGCCCTTGGCACAAAACTTCAAGGTGGTAAAGGAAGGGGGAGAGGAATGAGTAAAACCACGCATAAAGTGCATATTATAATACAAGGTGATAACATAATAATATAACATAATATAAGTAACTATAAATATATAAATAAATAAATATTGGCCAGTCAGTACGTCTTCTAACCTCGCCTCTTTAAGGCCATTTGTTTGAAAGTGTACGGATGTACCGGCCGCAGGAGGCATAGACTAGGTCGTGGAGGAGTCGGTCAACAGAGCACTGGGCAACTGGACACGAGGCAGGATCCTCTGGCAAATCGGCCCCTGACCAGCCGAAACCTCGCCGGCGTAGAGGCCTGCGGGCAGCTCAAAGTCTCTGATGTCGGGCTGCCGGAAGCGCAGCTCGAGACGGACCGGCTTCGGGTCTGTCGGCGTCAATCCGGCGAACGGATGGCCCAACGTGATGGGCTCCGGCACAGCCAGCTCCTCTTCCGACTCGAGTAGCTCCGACCTGGACAGCTCTGCGGCGTTCGGTGCCGACTCGAGGGCTGGCGACGGACCGGCGTCGACGACAACTTGGCTGGTCGGGCTGCTGGTGTCCGCGCTTCGAGACGGGCTGCCGGAGGCGGATGTCTCATGTCTCAGTTGCCGAGTGAGCGGCCGATCCGCCAGCAGACGCTCGGCCAGCAGGTAGAGCTGGGGCATGTCGAGGTGAGGGGGCGGAGGCAGCCGAGCACTGGGCAACAGGAGGTGGATCTTCGGACAGCTGGCGGCCAGTCTTGCCGTGGAGGAATGGAGGTCGTGTTGCGGCGAGTCTGGCAGTTGGGGTGGCTGAAAATCCGGCCTGAAGCTGAGGTCTTGGGCCGATCTGAAGCGGACCAAGGGGCCCTTCTCCATCCGGGCCTTGGCCAGCCGTTCCTCGTGCTGCTCGATCTCCTGCAGGATGCGCTCCGCCACCAGTTGGAAGGTGGAGGCGTTCAGACGAGCCGGATTTCCGTCCATCAGTGTTATCCGCCGCTTCAACAGCTTGTTGAAACTCTGGCTATTCGGCGGAACCAGCTTGGACAGGCTGGCAGACCCTCTTTTGGGCGCGAGCAGTTTGGCCTCTCCCTCTATGATCTCATATTTCTTGGCCATTATATCCAGACCGATAGGAGTGAGGGATGGCTTGAGGTAGGAGCGGACGGAATTGGACATCTTGGGCATTTCGAAGGGGGCTGCCCAAGAGAATTTTTCATAGCGTTTGTTGGCCTTGAAATTGTTGAACAATGCACCAATTGACAGATCATTTGGAGACTTTTTCGACGAGTGCGAAGATTGCGAGCTCGGAGGGCGGTCATCGAAACGCCGGAACTGTTTGTTGATGTTGTAGATGGCTCTGGAGAGGGTGGAAAACTGTGAACGTCGAATGGCTTTTCGTTCAAGTGCCGCCAGTCGGTGCGAAGAAGTGGGCATACGTACGAAAGTAAAAGAAATAAAAAGACCAAAGTACACTGAACGTACCCAGATCTACCCGATATCTGTGCGATGTGGAAAAAAGTGGCAATGAATGGAGCACGTCTTAAACCAACAGAAATATCGATTGCCAGACAAGTTGTATCGAAGCGTGTGGATTTGTCTGTGGACCGAGGAGGTAATACGACTCGAGCCCCATTAAATTGCACAAAAAGCATGGCTTTTAGGGTAGATCGAGCCGATTTGCAACGGGGTATTTGACATTAAATGATGAACTCTTTTGATGAATTGTCAGTTGTTTTGTGACAACATTAATTGTTTAGAGGTTGTTTGACATTATGTTTTCGCAACTTGGTCATATTGGTAGGAAGACTTAGAGGAACGCACCTAGTCCGGACCATTTCCATAGTCGGACCGTGGACGTGGTGCATTCCCAGACGTTTCGCCGACATTGTGAGTGAGTCTCGCCAGTCTTAGAACCACAAGTGAAGCCGATCCTTTGACAAAATGTGTGCTAAACAGTTGTCGTATCTCCCCTTCTGCCATAGGCTATCCACATTTCCTATATCCTCATGTCCCACCTTCACTATTACAATTTGTACCGAGCTTATTTCGATGTTGTGTGGTGTGCTTCTTTGAGCGGCATTCATAAAAACCCTACACACTCCACGCTGTCCTACTCACCCCCCTTCACCCTTGCGCTTAGAATGTCCGTTAATGACCCTTGACGGAAAGGTTATGACAAGTGGTTAGGTAACTTGATCATCATGCTCACAAGCTCATATTTCATCATCTCAACCATACTTATTTACGTACCTAGGCCCTCTCGGTCAAAGGTTTTCTCTTGGGTTATTAGGTCTTGAGGATAAGAACCGGAGATTTAACCTTTGACAAGTCTGATTTAGGAACCGTATTGCATAGAGACGCTAACACACACAAATACACATACTGATACAATCGAGCAAAAATAACGGGACCAGTATGAAAGAAAATTAACCAAACCATTCTATATCGATCTAATTATGTTTTTAATTTTTTGACTCGATTGAGTCTATATAAGAAGTAAGGTAGAGCTGGATAGTGTTCTTGCTTTAGTGTTAACGCGAGACTTGCAAAAATGACACCCAGCTCTGATGATGTCCGTCATATGATTGACGAAAGCTCAGCACGTTTTCACCCGAAACGAGGAAGGAAGTCAACATGAATATCGTATAAAAGTCAAACGGCTGCACTACAACGAGTTTCATCCGTCCTCATCTGGTGAGATCGACCAACGAATCTCTTCTTCA